AATATAAATTTATTTTAAAATAAATAGAGATAGCTAAAGTTTACATTCTAATTTCAATTATTGGAGACACTTTTACGTCCAACTGACGGAACGGAACGGAACTGTTTTCTGAAGACGTATTAAATAGTAATCAAAATAACATCGTTTTTGTTTTATTTAAAACAGCGACATTTGTACAGCATGCAGTAACCAATTCTGTATCCATTCTTTTGGCAATATGATGTACAGCCGTGGCATTCGTAATAAACATCTGGTTTACCCAAACCTATAAAAACATAGAATAAACGCTAAATGTAACATCAGAATGAAGTATTAAAAAAAAAACAAAAAGGAAGTTGAATTGATAAGGGCCGTTTTGATCCATTCTGAGTTTCGAAACAGGATATTATTCTAAACGCGAATTGAGGAGTTTTTATAGTAGATAATTGAGTAAATGTGGTTTCTTACCCGAGGCTCATTACTTTGCTATAAGGTAATGGAACAGACGTATAATATTTAGGGAAAGACCTACCTGGGGATGTGGTACGTCAATGAAAAGTCCATGATGGGAGGAACACGTTGGAGAGGGTTCGGGTTGCTGGAAACCTTTGGTTCAAAAGTTATGCTCTTTTTCCTGCACAATATATAAAAATGGGACTTAACTATGGTTAGGATAGATTAGGTTGAGTTAGATCCTTCTCCAAAACATTGTCTACGGAGAAGGGCGTAACATAGACATGGTGATAACTTTTGAACTAAGGGTTTCCGGAACCCTTCAATGTGTTTTTCTAATAAAGTTCCCGTACACCCTGGGGTATGTTGCCCTAATTACTATACCAGAGCCAGTAATATTCTGTATGTATATTTATGGTTCTAGACACTAGTTAAAGGAAATTTGTACAACTGTGATGTCGGATGGGCATTCTGGAATTAATTGATGATTAAAACTTCTAATAAAAGAATGAAACCAACTAAATGGCTTACTTTCGTTATCCAGGATGTAGTCAAGGTTCATATCATTCTAAATGACCTCTACGTATTAATCCTTATTAACTACTCATTTTAACTAAAAGAAAAGGGTTAAAAATATCGGGTAAGAAACTTCATACCTCGATTTAGTATAAAAACTGGTTAATAGAGCTTCAGAGTAATATTTTTTTCGTGGTCCAAATGGACCAAAAACGGCGCTATTATACCATTTTTTTAATGTTTAAGATTTTGTTTCTGGACTAACGAAAAATTAAACAGGCGCACAAAAGGTTAAGGCAATTTGTTTATATTATATTATTATTTTTTATTACTTACTTTTTTCGTTGGTTTCCGGAGGAATTGTGCCACTTGCAGACACTAAACAAAAAACAACTGCTAAGAAAACAACTGCAGACACATTCATGACTTTATTGGTGATTGAACTAGTACACATAATTTAATTAATAATACACAATTGCATATTAGAGACATATTTATTATAAGTATATTTCTCTCTCCCCCTACTTTTCAAATATTACAAGATCGTATAGTTTAATATCAAGAATGTCCAACTAATTTAAAATTATGTAAATATTTAATAACGTTTTATTCACAGACACCTACTTATTGATTAATAAACTAATTAATTTTGTACATCATTAATAGTCAAACAGAAATAGTATCATTATAAGTGAATTGGTCATAAGTATCCTTTATCGCGCTTAAATGTAATGATTCTCTAAATATTTGAACAAGTAAACAAACTAATTAGTATATAGAAACAGTAAGTATTTTTTTTAAATATTTTTTATTAAAAATTGCAAATTAAAAATGAAAATAAATTCAAACTCATATTTTCAAATTTATGTGTATCTTTTAGGAGACCTTTATTTATTCTCTTTGTTGACTTAAATTAAGTCAAGTTAAGATTTTATTTCAATAACTATTGGGTTGTTCGGA